AAGTGTGTTTCTTGTATGCAGCATATTGTTGGATTTTGCTTCTTGAGCCATTCTGCCAGTCTATTTCTTTTGATTGTTGAATTGAGACCATTAACATTGATGGTTATAAGTGAAACATATTGACTTGTCATTGCCATGACTTTTTCTTTTTGTTGCGTTCTGCCCCTTTACATTTAATTTCTTGTCATGCCAGATGTGTTCATTCTGCTTTGCTTCCTGGGGTTGTGATCCTCAACGTCTGTTCCTAGGCTATTGTGTAAAATTCTTTGGAGTGCTGGTTTGGTATTCACGAAGTTCCTAAGGTGCTCTTTGTCATCAAAGTATCAGCATATTTATTCTTATGGGAGAGTACTGCTTCATTATGATAAAGCACTAGCTTTGAAAAATATGACATTTTAAAATGTAAAATTCGGGACTTAACTCCAAGACAATGAAGGAAAGATTAGTACTGGAACATAAAAATTGAGGCAGACAATCTTATGCATCATGAACTCATTTAAAAGCAAGAAAGAGAAGCAAAATCCTTATTGTGACTTTAGAGTTTTGTTCTCCACAACTTGATCACTGAAGTCCAGCTCACAGTTCATTTTACAGACCACCTTGGGAAAAGTCCCAGCTCATTCAATTGTAGTAAGTGGGACAAAGGTATCAACTGCCCATTAAACTTGGCTCTTCTGAGCACAGGAAACTATCTTTTCCTAACATTAGGCTCAATATTTTGTTCTCACTGTGTTTTAGTGTTAATCCTAGCCAATTTTCCTCCACGATGTAGAAATTACTTACAGAGACTGCATGGAGTAAAAAGAAATACTCAGCCAAGCCATTTCAGCCCCACACTGTTATCCTCACTTGAGTGAATTTTTGTTTGATCTAGTGAAATGACTAAATGTTTTTGTATTATCCTCTTCCCAAGACCACTTTACCAAGCAAAAAGCAAGCTACTACATAATCTTCAGGCCCCTTTTGTATGCTACAGCAATTTTAATTAGTGACAAAAAAGAAGCAGGTGAAATTAATAATAAGCTCTTTAAAAATGTTTCCCTGTTGCCACTTCTACTCTGTACAACAGCTGTAAAAGAAAAAAGGCATAACTTTTAAGTGGGGGAAAAGAAACACCCATAAGATAGAAGTTAACAAAACACCAGGGAAACTTTTTCAAGTGTTATTTGTTCAATTGATTTATTTTTAAAAAAACCTTTGACTAAGAATCTGGAATATAGATATAAATTATATAGTGACTCTAAAACTTCTTTTAATGTACCAGGAAAAACAAATCACCTGTGGGGAGTATTTTTGTTTGTTCGTTTGTTTTGGGTTTTTTTTTGTGTGTGTGGTTTTTTGTCTTTGAAGACTATCTGTAAAGCCAGTTATTAGAAATTGAGTGAATGAATGGCCAATGTAAATGCTGTGTGGACAAGATCCCTTACTGAAATATTTGCCTATGAGTGTTCTTTAGAAATATAAACGAAGTTATTATTGCATAGTTGAAGATTAAGAGAGGCAAATTTCTGGTGCACAGACTTAACCATCAGGTAGGTTATTTTGTTCTGGAATCCTGTGCTACAGTTTAGGAATCCTGCACCTACAGGACACTCTCAGGTGTCTATCGGGTCATCCTAACAGAACAGCAGAGGGTTCTGTGCATTTCAGAAGGGATCATGCTCATCAGGCTCTTCCACCATTCCTGCCATTTATTACTGAATTTTATGCAGCTATTGAAGTAATCAAAATACCCTAGCTCATATTAATCACATAATTACATAAAATGTTAACAAGCACCAAAGTAAAAAATAATCGTTTAGAGAAATTTGAAAGAGAGGACAAGCACTGCAGTGGACTTCTTTGTCTTTCTGATACTTTGCCTTTCTTATTTTTCTCCAAACCTAATCCAAAGGCGAATGTATTAGTTAATATGGTCTTTATAATAATCTCCATTGAATTTTAAGCTAAAACAAACCAGCTATTTGTCTGCCTCTGTAGTGATAGCTGTAATAGCATATCCAAGTATGTTTTGCCCTTTCTGGAATTTGTTTCTAAAATTATGTCCCTGAGAATTTTCACCTCGCTTCAAGCATCCCTTTCCCTTTCATACTTACTTCACAGGGAAAAACAAAAAAAGAATGAGCATATGACCATGTTGCTTACATGTAGGGTGTCAAATTACTGTGCATTCTGCTTTGAAATGGAAGAAAATATCTTCCATTTTTCATTCTTGGCTCTAGCTAATCTCATTTTTATTTACATAAATAATATAAAATATTATTGATGAAAATGCAAATAAAATTATAATGATAGCTTCCTAATCCCATTCCTTCTCATAAAGCCAATCATTTGGTGTGTATCTTTTCAGACCATTTTCTGTATAAAATATATGTATTTTGCTTTGTATTAATAATGGGATTAAGCTATATACTATTCTTGAACTGTAAGTTTTACCTCTAAGTTTAATCATAGGGAAAAAAATAACTATATTTAAACCTTCTAAGTGAGTTAAATTTACTTGTAATCTTACTTGAATCCAACCTTTTGTTGGTTTCTCTTAGCAAACTTTCTGCTTATTCTTTGAAAAACTGCCTTTGAGTATTGAAAGCAGATGGATTTATTACACAGAATACAATAATTTTGGTTGAAAAATTTAATAGATATTTGAACAGTAAAAAGGCCAATTTATTCCAGCATACATGATATATTCCTGGGAATGACAAAAATCCAAAGGAAGAACCATGAGATATTGTTAATTACCACATCCAAACAGACACAGTCAAATACCCTAAACTAGCACACACACACATACATACACCCCTCCCATCATACACACAGACCACACACAAACATGTACATACAAATACACAGAGTCAGATGGGCCATTAATACATGAAAAACACTTATCAATAAGTAAAAGTGGCACATTGGTTGTTACTGCTTTCATATGCCTTTCCCCTTTGTTTGTGTTTTAGTTTGCTATTAAAATAGATCAAGCTGAAGATTTCCTCCAGAATCCTCATGAGTTTGAGAGTGCTGAGGCCTTAAAATCACTTCTTCAGCTTCATGAACATCATACCAAAGGCAAGAAATATATTTATTCTTCACATAAGTTTTAAAAGTTTCAAAAGATGGTAATATGAAGATGCTTCTTTATAAGTGTGTTTTAAATTTATTCCTTATGTATACTTCAACTTGTTTTAAGAACTGATGAGTAAAACTTTATGTTTGGTCATCTTGTGGAAGAAGGCACTAGTGGTGAGCGATGTTAAGGGATGGTAGAGAAGAAGCTTCATTGCCTGGTCTACCAGATCTGAATTCCTGAGGACAGAGGCTCGTCTGTTTTCCTCAGCATCTAGCGAGGTACCCAGTCCCTGGTGGATTCTCAGGAGATACTTGGTTGAATTCAATGAATGTTCCTTCCTAGAGTCAATAAATGAAGGCCAACTTTACATAGCAGCTGAGAATAAGGAAAATTCCTCTTTCATTATTAGAGAGAGAGAGAGAGAGAGAGAGAGAGAGAGAGAGAGGGAGAGTTTTTTTCCAGATAAAATCTTAATAAAGATTCCCAACTCCCTCTGAATAACTATAAAGATAATCTAGTTGCTAAACAACAATTTGTGTACTGCTGGGGCTGGCCAGGATTGGAACAGGACAGGTATTCGTAGAAAAGATAGTTATTTACTGTCATCTTTGTCTATGGAAGTAGGGTAGATAAATAGGTAGGGAAAGTCACTTTTTTCTTCCTACTATGTCTTTAATTAGTGTGAGTGAAATGACTTCCTGAATTTATTTGTCCCAGTTCTAACTTGACTTTTAACTTCACAACCTTGTTCATACTAGACAGGAATGAGGGGCAATTTTTAAGGCTACAAGTACATATTATATTTATATAACCCTCCAAAGGACCCTAGATAGTAGATCGGTATGATGAGTTACTTAACACAAAGGCAAAGATTAAGGGTTCAGTCTTGCCTATGTGAATTTTTATGAAAGCCTACCAGATATATACATTGCATTCTAATCCATGATTGTTCTGTAGGACTTGTTAGTGATGAGGATCAAACACATCATCAGACTCTGCATTAAAGCAGTGGCTGCCCATTCCACAGAGCAGTAGCAGTCTAGCTGGGTTCATAGGAGGTGAGCAGAGTCATGTGAGATTTGTGCTGGGAGACGAGAACATGTGCGGATTCTGGGTTAACTGCAGTGGGTTCTGCGGTCTCAATTCAGGCTTTATCCAATCAACACAATCATCACACAGTGATTTTACCTCTAGAAACCTAACAGTGACTGAAGCTTTTGTGGAAGAGGTTCATTACTAAGACAACATAATGAAGGATTTTTCCAGAAGGATGGGGGTTTAGGGAACTAGGGACTTTTCCATAAATATTTGGAGATGGAGCTGAAAGGAGAAAGAGGTATGAATGATGTCTTGTTGGTGTTGCTGCTGGCTCCTTCAAAGTTAACAAATCTGGAGAAGTGACCCAGATTGCATGGTGCATGCTGTTTTTGCTTAAAGGTCTTAGGCTACACTGTGCTACACTCAGCTGTCAGCGGAACCAATGTCTTATTTTTCAGGAGTCTTTAAGAGTCATCTTGGCCTCCTTTTAGTGTGAGAGTGGATAAAAATGCTAGCCAAGCCAGGAGTGGCCGTGAATTCCTATAATCTCAGGACTTTGAAAGGCTGAGGCAGGAGAGTCACAAGTTTGAGCACAGACTAGGCAAGTTAGCAATTTAGCCAGCCAAAACAAGGCTGGAGATGTAGTTCAGTGCAAAGGCCCTGGGTATAATTTCTACTATGGAAAAAAAATGCCAGCCAAGTCAGGTGTGGTCTGCATACCTGCAATCTAACACTTAGGAGGCTGAGGCAGGAGAATCAGAAGTTTGAGTCTCACCTGGGCAAATTAAAATGCCATTATCTCAGGATAGGAAATAGAAGTGTTGAAAATATAGCTCAGGACAAAGGCCCTGGGTTCAATCCCCGGTACTACAAAAGTAAAGAAAGAATAAAAAATAAAAACCTAGACAAAGAAGAGGATGGACCTTGTTTTTGTGATGACAAAATATTCTTCTTTCCGGATGCCATATTTATTGGGATATTTTTGTGCCCCTTTATGTGACTGCTCAAAGCACAAGGGTCATAGGGGACCGGGGTTATGATACGTGGCTCCTAATTCATATGCCCAGTGGTGGCTTCAAGGACTTTGTTTTGATAAAATGAGAGTTGATGAAATATATTAATCAGCCAATTCAGTGGGATGTTATTAAGGTTAGCTGATTTGAAGTGTATATTAATGGCTAAGACTCTGATTTTTAATTAAGGAGTTTGTTATCTTCAAATTTAATGAAATAAATGTCTAAAAGTGCAGCTAGTAGTTCTAAATTTCTGAGATGTTGATCTATTGAGTAGTACAAAAAGTGAGTGTAAGCTGCATTACGGCAAAAACTAATAATGTACCTGGAGTTTATTTTACTCTGAGTTTCTAAAAAAAGAGAGACCATGCAATAGTTAAGCTTATGTGTCTGATTATTCTACTTAGCATTATGGTCTCAGGGTGTGTCTATTTTTATACATATAACTCTAGTCTGTCCTTATTTTGGAAGTAATAATCCATGGTGTGTAAAAACCACATTTTCTTTATCTGTTCATCTGTTGATGGTCATGTAGCTGCTTCAACGATTCAGTTATTATGAATTGTGCTGCTATAAACATGGCTATGCATGTATCACTGTAATATGATATTTTCAACTCTTTTGGGAAGATTCCTAGAAGGGGAATAGTTGGGTGAAATGAAATTTCTAGTTTTTGTGTTTTGATGAATCTCTGTATTGATTTCTAGAGCTAGATCATTCTCAGGGGGAAGGGGATCAAGATATTGGGGGTAAGGGATGAAAATAAGGAATTGGTATGAGTTCTGTACATTTACCATCTTCCCACAGGAATGTAAACATTATGTACACATGCACTAGTAAACTGAAATAATAAAAAACTGAAGAAGATAGGAAGAGAAGAAAAGGGAAAAAAAAATGTACCTGGAAACTGTAACCAGTCCTACCCCAATAATCACTTTATTTCAATCACCCAACCTGTGATTTTTCCTTATTCAGCAATGGTCAGGCTGTGCAGTGTGTAAGTAACTTATTCTATAACATCATGGAGGTCAGACCAGGCTAACGCCTTAAAGTTTCCACCCTCTGTAAACTTACAGAAAAGGTCTGTATCTCCACCAGGCAATTCTTGAAAGAGTTGAACGGTAAAATATTCTCTCCAGCCCTCTCTCCTTAGGCCTAAATGTGCCTTGTTAAAGCTTTTGTAGCAAACATTGTTTCCAGACTACTTACCAGCCTGATTTCTCTCAGTTCAGCAACAGGTACTTACACCAAAGTTTCTGAACCAGTACCTGGTGAGAAACCCAGAGCCCGGAGTCAGAGGAGTACCTGGCCCTTGGCCTCAGAAAGCTGACAACTTAGCAGGGTGTGCACGCACTTGGCACTGACTTCCTCTCATGCTCCTTAGTTGTCTCTGTCACACCATCCTTCACCCTGTGTAGTGATCATTTATTTCCCTATTCAACTCCATCGTCTGATTATGAGAGCCCTGGTGGCAGGAGTTAGTATATTTCTAATCTCCAGGATGTGGAGTAGTCTCTAAGCCTGCAAAGCCCCTAGTGAGTGTCTTCTGTATGTAATTCTAATGTAAGACATAATGGAATAATGCAAATGTAAGCAATAAGCAAGATACTACAGGGACATTAAGGAGAAGAAAATTAACTAATTAATGAAACGGGGTCTCTCTGTGGAGTCCAGGTTGGCCTTGAACTCTCTGTGTAGCCCAGGCTGGCTTCAAACTCAAGGTGATTGTCCTGCTTCAGCCTCCAGAAGGCTGGAATTACAGGCATGCACTAGCACGCCCGGTGTGAGAAAATTTATTTTAAATTTAGATCACAACTATACTTTCCAGTTTTTCAATAGCCTTCTTAAGATGAATATAATACCTATGAATCTGTATGGCAGGAAGAATCATATTATGATTTCCATTCTGAATATAATATATATTCACATATAGCTGGGATATAGGTTCATGGAAGTCTATCATACTGTTAGCTCTACTTTTGTACATGTTTGAAAAAACACATAAAAGAAAAAATAACAGTTAAAAGAAAAATATCCTACTGAGAAACATTTAGAATATTTAAAAAATATATTCAGAAGAAATGTCATCCATCCTCTCAGTTCTAAGATCTCAGTACCAAGACTGTGGGCTTGATACTTTTTAGAAAGTATTAATATGAGAATGTTGCCTAATAGGCTGCAAATACACCTAATTTGTGTACATCTCTCATTAGTCTGTTTTTGTTTATTTATTTATTTATTTGTTACCTTGCACTTGTAAGGCAGGCACAGCGCTGCTGAGCTAAATCCCTGACCCACATTAATCTGTTTTAAATTGATTACTTAATCATTTTTAAAAACTATATAGGAATTGGTATAACATGTAATTTAATATTACTTTTTTTAACACAATGAAGGAAAATATGAAAATGTTATCAAATATCTACTAGTTGTATATCACAAGGTATTATTTCAGAAAGCTTGGATTTGTGTATGCAGAAATATATAATCTTTAAAATAAATGAACTATAGAGATTTTGTATTCTTGAAGATTGCCATGTATCTAGATAGTTTACTTGGGAGAAAAAAATACGTCATTTTGGATGATCCACTGATAAGATAAATAGATAGGAAAATGTAAACTATAAAAAAGGAAGCGGTAAGAGACAGGAAGGACCAAGGGAACTGGCAGAGGAACAGAGGGGAAGAATGTGTCCACTTAAACAACTATAGCAGCAGCAAGTAACAGGCTGATTGCAACCTTGGTGTTTTACAAGTTAACTCTGGCTCTGGAAACTGTAGGCCTCTTGGTACCTACCCACTGTGTGGTTTTGGTAGAAGCCAGGCCAGAAAACCAGAAAGAATGCAAACTGAAATTTTGGCCAATTATATGTATTATCAAGAGGCTGGAGTGGTTGGTCCCATCCACTGTCAGCCTTCAATACCCTGATCCCCTAAAGTTATGCTCCTCCTTCTCATCTGAAAAGTCTGACACATGAAAGCTAGTTACAGGAAGAGAGAAACATGTAAGAGTTACATACAGAGAAGAAACCCTGCTGCCGCCCAGACTTCCTCTGTGTGTGTGTGTGTGTGTGTGTGTGTGCTCAGTTTGTGTGTGCAACTGTTCATCATAACAAATTCTACAATAAAAAGGAAAAAAATCCCTCTTAATATACAAAAGGAGAATCAGTCACCCTGATTATGACTGTAAGGCTGTACAAATTTTTTTGGTACCGGGGATTGAACTCGGGACCTTGGGCTTATGAGGCAGGCAGTGGAACCACTGAACTAACTCCCTTGCCCCAGGCTGTACAAATTAAAACGCTTCAGTTGCCAGGCCCTCTATAGTCTGCCTTCACTTATTCCTCCATTTGTCTCTCTCTTTTTTGGGGGGGGGGTACTGGGGATCGAACTCGGGTCCTTGCGCTTGCGCAGCAGGCAGCGAAACCACTGAGCTAAATCCCCGACCCTCCATTTGTCTCTTTTACTTCAACATAACAATGTCACAACTTGCTCCAGAACAACAGAGAAGTCTTGTTCCTACCCCCATCTTACTTGCTTTCCTCTATTTCTTTGTTCTGGAGATTTATTCTTAATTTAAAAATTCTCCCTGACTTATCTTATTTACATTCTCCCATTTTTCTGTCCTGATTCAAGTCCTGGGTTGGTTCAGTGGTTCGTACTAGCTCAGCTGAAAGAGGCGATTGGCCTAATTCTTTTTTTTGTTTTGTTTTTTGTTTTTTGGTACTGGGGATCGAACTCGGGTCCTTGTGCCTGTGCAGCAGGCGCCAAAACCACTGAGCTAAATCCCCGGCCCTGGCCTAATTCTTTCTGCCCGTTCTTTGCTCAGTAGTTAGGTGCTGTATTAGCATGCTAAAGTTGAATGCCAGGACAGACTGGAAAGAATAGGAGCTAATAATCTTAGGACTGGGACTGAGGACTGATGCAGCCCATGTGTGGCATGCAGTACTTGGTAAGGTGCAAACACTTTAGCTTGTCTTCACTGTGCTCCTCGTTCTAAGAAGAAAAAGCAGTCTTGAGCCATGCATGGTGGCATGCACCTGTAATTCCAGCACTCCAGGAGGCTGAGGCAGGAGGAGTCCAAATTCAAGCCCAGTCTACATAACTTAGCAAGCCCCATCTCAAAATAAAAGTAATAGAAAAAGGGTTGGGGTGTAGCTCAGTGTGAAGGCCCTGGGTTCAATCCCCAGTACCGCAAAAACAAAAACAGTCTATTAAATCTTGCTGTTCTCTCAAGATACTATCTTAGCGTTTTCTTTACTCTAACAACAAGTGTCTTCAAGATTATCCTGTCTTCTTGGTTTTAGTTTCTCTTCCCATTTCTCAACCTTCTTATTCCATTACTTACCCATCACAAAACCCTATGTTGTTTGCTCAACTTCTCCTGTTTACATTTCTGGAAGACTAAGGATCTAATGTCTATAGCTCTTCCAATTCTCCTTCCTCTTATAATATATTTTATCCCACTCAAGAATTCTGCAAAAATTATTAAACATCTGCTCTTTGCCTTAATTTTAAAGCAATGAAGACATCATTTTAAATGTGTGTGTCCAGTCTTTCCACTCACTGTATGGAACCATGCTATTGCTGAATTTTAGTATCCAGCATCTGGAAGTTGGTGCTGTAGCGATTTTAGGCCAAAATATTTGACCAGAATTTAATGTACAAGGTATGTTCAGAAAATACAGTGAATATTTTTTACATTTAAAAAAATTTGTTACAGGAAAAGAAACATTGTTCTTAATGAGCTTAAAATACTCAAAACCATTTATCTTATTGTTTTTGCCACTTTCTGAAGCAGCTCTGGAAGTCTTCTTTCTTGAGGGTCCTCAGTTGCACTGTTGTGGTTTCCTGGATGTCCTGAATTGATTAAAACTATTTACTTTTCATATTAATTTGACTTTAAGGAAGAGCCAGAAATTGCATGATGCCTGATCTGATGAATAAGGTAGATGAGGACACATTGTAATGGTTTTACAATCCTGCATTTCCATTGAATGGTAACTGCTCCGTATAATGGCAGCAGTATTCACCATATTTTTATCACACCTCATGAACACTCATAAAATAGTACTCCAGGACTTCTTTATAAAGTGGCAAGAACAATGGGACAATTGTGTGAGAAGCAAAGGAGAGTATTTTGAGGGGGACTAATAGCAACTGTCTTTTATTGTGTATATTTAAAAAAATTTAAACATGTACCATATATTTTGATCACCCTTTGAACAAATTACATATTTATATATTAAATAGAAAAGATCTAAACATTGCTATATCGAAGTTTTCTCATCTCATTATTCTTTCTAACTTTCTTCCAGAACTCCTAGAACGATCTCTAGCCCTTTTAAACAAAAGTCAACAACTCACAGACTTCATAGAGAAATTCAAGTGTGATGGACATTATGTGAATTCCGATTTGATTCAGGGAGCTCAGAGCAGTTGCCTGAAGATTGACAGCCTTCTCGAACTTCTACAAGATAGGAGAAGGCAACTAGACAAGCACCTGCAGCAACAGCGGCAAGAATTGTGTCAGGCTCTGCAGATGTGTCTGTGGGACCAACAAGAAGACCAGGTAACCCAAATGTGCATGGGCTGGTGTCTCAGCCCCTGCTCAGTGGTTATGGTATGGATCAGGGCACAGCTGATCCATATGAGACAGTGTCTCATTCATCATGGTGAGATCCTTTATCTTTGGTCCAAAAGTCTTTCCTTCAAACACTACGTTGTTTCCCCAAGTAAGTACAAATTTAAAAATCAAAGATTTTTATTTCCTCTCATTATAATATTGATTTTATGAATGGGAGAACACCTGTGGAAGTTTTTAAAAATAGCTGTGTTCTATTGTTGGATTTTCCTTTTTACTTTCTTACGTGTCACTGCTTTAGACACATTTATTATCAATTCTGAAATGCTACGAGTAGTTTTTTGGAAAGTTAGAGACATGAGGGTGCTAAATTGCCCTATACTGCTGCTAATATCATTTCAAAAACCAGTAAGCTCAAAATAGGGTCAGTGTTCTTAGAAGAGTGATTTGGTGCCAAGGAAGAAGTATGATATTGGCTGGTGGCCGAATGCTTAGGGGTTATAAGGCTTTGGGGGTTGCTGAGTGTGCAGGAATGTTAGGACTCATTAACTGACTGAAGGCTCAGCTCTGATAAGTTGTCAGTACACTCCCAAGTATTTCCTTCTATCCGGGCATTTAAGGGTCAGAGTGGTCAGAATTCTCTTTGCAAACCCCCATCTGAAATAGGTGATATATTTATTATAACCTTTCCATTGCCCCAATTCCATGATTCAGTCTGAACAGATTAAGTGAAAGGACTCTTTAGAGAGAAACAATATATAGAGAGATCTTTTGGTCTGGATGCACAGGAAAGGGATCTTTTTACATTTTATATTTCTCTGATACAAATTGGAGAGACAGAGACATACAGCTGGAAGCAAATATGAGATGAGGCGAAGCTTTTCCTCATTTCAAGATAGCAAAAATGAGGTCTTACATGACTTAACATTTCATCTCCTAGTGACTGAGTATCGGCTGTGTGCCATCTCATGGTAAGTGCTGGAGGCACACTAGACAAGGCGAAGCCCCTTTCTCCTACAGACTTTCTTTCTATGTGTTTCCTGACTTTGGCATTGCTGACATTTGCTGCTAGGTAGCTCCTGGCTGCAGGAGGCTGTCCTGTATTCTCTCTGGTGTTGAACAGCATCCCTGGCCTCTACCAACTAGCTGCTAGTGGGACATCCCTCAATATGGCACTAAAAATACCTCCCGACATCGCCAGATGTCCCCTGGGGGGCAAGAATTGCTGCAATGATGTGAGGACAAAGCTATAAAATAAACAAATGAACAGTGCTAAGTGCTACTTAAAATCAAATAGACAATGAATTTTGACACTATTCATCAGATAAGCTGCTCCCAGGAGTTGGCCCAGGGCAGAGATCCAAATGCAGACACCTCCAGTCACCTGCTTGCATCTCATTGCCTCCCCTCCAAATCAGCAGAGGCTTTCTAAACTTCCCCTTCTTTCTCCGCCTTTGCCTTGACTATTGAAGCTCCTAACCTGCTACTGCGGGGCTTTACCTGCCAGCTCTTCCTCCTCATAATTTGCATGCTCAGCTACCTGTACATTCTCATTATTCGAAATTCTATTGTCCAACATAATCAGTTACAGATGATTGTGATAAGACAAAGGGAATTAATGCCCTGGATAAAAATCAACATAAAAGTGTCAGACAACTGTTTGCTAAGTTCTTTGTCCTTCACATAGTAAGTGGGTCTGATATAGCTCACTCTTTTCTCTCTGTCTCTCCCTTCCCGCTAATTCTGACCCACTATCATGTTCCCAGAGCTTCTGTCCCCTTACAGAAACTTGCTTATCTCTTTTTGTTCTTGAGTTCACAAGCCCAAACCTCTGCCTCTAGTGCTTCTATGAATACACTAAAAACTCCTTTTGTTTTATCATACAGAGTTTATTGCTTTTAATCCTCAACTTCACTTACTCAGATTAACAGAGACTTTTTCTCTCCAAAGGAAAGGCTCATTTAAGAGGCTTCCCAAACACAGAAAAAATTTTTCCAAGAATGTATAGTCAATTTTACTTATTTTTAGATAGCAGCTTTGCCTCCCAGTCCTGTGACTGTGGCAATAACCATCCACTTGAATCCTCCATAGTTAAAAACAAAAGAGAGACAAATGAAAATTCAGGAAATTCAAAATGAGCTTTCTAACCTAATTACATGTTTAAGGGAGATCTAGTTATCTTGCCAAGTCTGGAAACCGGAATTTGTTCATAACTAAAGCAAGCTATTGTAGAAAGTTTCTGAGTTGATTACTTCTCTAACTTAAGAGGACTCATTTTCTTCTTTTTTTAAATACTAGAATACTTTTAAAAAATTGACTTTATCTTTTAGAACAGTTTTAGGTGAAATAACACATGTAAATCATATACTACAACACCTATATTGGTTTCCTTGCCCTCCCTCTCCTGTTTTAAACCTTGCAACTTACGAATTCTCACTCACTCAGCCCATATCCTCTCCTGGGGCTTAGCATTAACGATATTATACATTTAGACTCCTTTCCTAACATTCCTGGACTAAAAATAATTAAAACAATAAGAATTAATACTATTTTTTAATATGAACTATCAATAAATAAGATAGTCATTTCCTTACATGTAATATCTAGGGTCTTTATACACCCATGTTACATTTTCTCTTGCTAACAACAGTGTGAGCAGCTGGAGTAATTAATAATAACTACTGTTTCTTTGTGCTTGTAAGAGCACAGATCCCGAGGCCAGAGCATTGATTGGGTTTAAATCTTGGCTCCATCACTTAACAATTGAGTAATTATTTAAATTCCTCAAGGCTCAGTTTTCTCTAAAAATGTGAACTATGGTAGTCTCTACCTTTAAGTGTTATTAAGATGGTCAAATGAATTATTATATGTCAAGTGGTTAGGACTTGGCACATAGTAACTGTTATATATTAGCTATATATTTTCATCTTATCTGAAAAGGACGATGAACACCCAGCACATTACATACTCTCCCATTCCTACCGCCTCCACCACATGCTCAAGTAAAGACTGGTCCTAAATTGAAGGCCAGTTTCATTATTTCACTTGATCTTAGCCAAAAGGCTAAGAAGTGATGCCAATTTCATTATTTGAGTTCATAGGGTGTGATCAAATAAATGTCACGTTTATAATATTAACAGCCATACTTGCTCAATAGACACTCGATTAATGATTTAAAACAAACAAAAACAGATTTGTTTCCTCCTGAGAGTTAATAATGATCATTTGTTAGAAATATGGAGGTTGCTGTCCATGTTGGTGATTGCTACTAGCATTTTGGCATACTATCACCTTTTAGTTTTGTATTCAAACAAGTGCCTAAACATACATTTATTATTCAAATGTGCACACATTTATTAAAGAAACAAATTAACAAAAATAGATAGAATCCACCTCTACATATTGTGTTGTAACCTGGCTTGAATTGAATAAATCATTGACATATTCTTGTGTCAAAAGTATAATAAGTAATTTTAAAGGGCATATACTATTCTGTTATTTGAATACAGTGTAACCCAATTTAAACAGTATCTTATTGATAGGAAGAAGAGGTTCTCCAGTTTCTCAATATTATATACAGTAATGCTTACAGTTGATAATTATGTGAATAAGAAAATACTTTTAAATATAGCAGGTATAAGCAAAATTCTCTTACCTGAGTTTTTAAGTTTCTTTCAATGTTCTGTTGTTTTACACTTCTATTGATGATACAATGGTGGAGATCACAGCAGGGACAAATGTAACTGTTAGTACTTTTTGTTCTAGGGCACAGTGTTCCTGGATGTTCTACCTAATAATCCCAGAACACTGTGGAACCACACTTCATTGGAGGGTAAAACATTTTTGTCAGTTCTGTACCTGTTTTAAGGGAGCATAGGAGCTGTCAAACTTTATATTCATAAAACATCAGCTGTCAATCATTTTAGCTACTTAAGGAAAAGTGGAAATTGAGGGGGGGATTAGAACAAAGATTACTGCTAAATAATAATGTGGATGTCTGAATATCTGATCATCAGATCTCATAAGGGCCATTTGAAAAAATATATTTAGAGTGTCTCAGTTTCTGAGTGCTTATGGCCTAATGCTTTTGAAAAGGCCTGATAATTCTCTTTTGGAAAGGAAATTAAGTGACCAGCATGATAGCAACTTAAGATTCATATAAATTGCAGAAAAATTAATTGAAAGCCACTGATATTTCTATTTTAATTGGCATGTGATAGTCTGGCAAACATAATCATAGCATGTTCTGTCTTTATCATTCTTTTTCAGATGTAAAAATGTGCGCTTGTTTTGCATTGAAAGATGAGCAGCTGCCCTTTCTTTTCAGCTCTAGCAGCATCTTATTTTGCAGATAATCTCCTTCATTAATGAAAATCAGAAGCAGCTTGGAGTATTTCGTGCATAATTAATTATCTTGCCAAGAAGATTTATGAATGTAATTTTTCTCAATTGCTCCAATCAGACATAAGTGAGACAAACAAATATATTAAAACTAAGTTATTCATGCCTTCTTTGTACAAGATAGTGTCAAGGACATCTAGGAGAATTAAGACATGAGAACAGAAAATCTGTTTATCACACAGATCACATATACATATAAGATATGCATCTTTGGGGGGAGGGGAAGGATAATAGAATTCACATTTAGCAAGTTTTGTAATTTATAGCTTGAGTACAATGTCCATCATAATTGTGCAGTATATTCCATCAATAGGCAATGAAAATGATATCCCACATAAGCACAATTAAAATGATGACCCATGTAAGCACAGTCTCAGGGCACTAGTCCTGGGTCTGTAAAACTGTGTATGTGAATACATATATATACATGTGAGTGTGTTCTTTGGTACATGCTGGTACTCTCTAGGATGTAGCGCTTGAATTGTTGATCAGCTTAAATTAATATGAGATACCATATGAAACCTTGAAGGTTTTTTTAATCCTTCTTTGAATGTAGCTTTCAAACACTGTTTGGTATGGAACCAAAA